CTGGATGTTTTATAATCGATTATGATGTTTCGGATACAACGGGACATTGTTTGCTTTGATGAAACAACGAGGAGGGTGGGACATCTTGTGAGCGGGCACGTCTAAGGAGCGTCCTATAAATTCTGACACGAAGCAATGACGTCACGTTGGTGAAATATACATTTGTCTTGAGGTAGGCAAAGAGGTTCATGTCGTGATGCCAATGAACTAACTGCTAAACGCGAGCGGGGCAGGGAACTTGCTCATCCGTTTATCCAATAAAAAATAATTAGGTATTCTCGAGTTTAGAGAAGACGAAGGTACAAATAAATTGAAGTATGATTAGTCAGCTCCCTACAAAATATTCCTTAAACTTAGGTACTGCGTTTCCCTTGTAACTTTCTTGGTGATTATAGATAATTAACTCGAAGCTGTTTTTCTAGCACAAAAATTTACTAATCCCATTAAAATTTCTAATATATTAAATCCATACTTAAATACTAATAAATGCCAAAGTGAGTTTGTTTATTCCACGTATCATCATGAAAATATTCTGTTCATACTTATTCTTATCTTTATTCGAGTAATGATCTGTTGTATACACGAAAGGACTCTGAGGATTTAAATCAAGTTGTTGTATTTAGAAGCAGTATTGTTTTAAAGAGTGATTAAAAAAAAAGAAAAAAGCGATTTGACACTCTTTTTTAACACCTTCTCTTATATATTTGACTTACATTGACGCTATTAGATGTTAGCTTGCTAGTGTTTCAAAACTTCACGAGATGGCGTCACAAAACAAGGCTTATTGAAGTTGCATAATATATTTTTTATAGATGTCACCTATTTACCTGTTTACTGATGGCGGGAACATTGTATGAGAACAGATAGTCATGATATTAGAACCAACCAAAGCGGAATCACAAGATGAGGCAAGATCTGTCCTTCCGGACAGATCATGATCGTTATCGCCCGAATTATGCGATTTTTAACTATCAAATAAGATATTTTATTGTAGCATAAAATATTTTGCCTCTAGTAAACAATCGGATTTATCTATAGAGTCTGCGACGCGAAACTTTTCGATATTCCCTCTATCCATGCCTAACTTTAGGCAAAAGTGTCCATTTCAATGTAGCTATGTGTTTAAATGGATTTTTATTTAATGTATGTGATATATTTACTGTATTTTCAGAAACCCTTTTACTTCCGTTGCAACTCTACACTCTTCTTCCTTAAAAGCACTCTCCTCATGTAAATTAACTCTTAATGTAATGTAATCAAAACAAATTTATACACAAATATAGTTTACATAATCTGTGTTCTGTTAGTGAACTTGTCTGACACATCACANGTTTAAATGGATTTTTATTTAATGTATGTGATATATTTACTGTATTTTCAGAAACCCTTTTACTTCCGTTGCAACTCTACACTCTTCTTCCTTAAAAGCACTCTCCTCATGTAAATTAACTCTTAATGTAATGTAATCAAAACAAATTTATACACAAATATAGTTTACATAATCTGTGTTCTGTTAGTGAACTTGTCTGACACATCACACGTTTGACGTTTCCAGTGTTGCAAGCACTCCGTAACATATGCCCCGGTCCCACAGCTCTCGGATTGTAATCGGACACCGATACAATTAGTTCGTCACTAGGCATGTTTGCACAACACTACATAACTCAATTAACGTTTAAGATTTGTTACTCTGTTTTGGATGAACGAATTATTTACCAAAAAATATTTTTGTGTGTTTATTAATTAGATAATTATTTTATTTTCAGTTTGTAAGTACTTAGGCTACAGTTAGGTAATTTGACGATGGTACATAAATAATACTTTTGACAGTACGACATTTACTATTAGACGCACAGGTGTCCGTGCCTAAGGTACCTACGAGTAAATCTGTGAAATTATTTCTCTTGTAAATTTTCACTGTTTAACGGAATTTTTTGGTATTTTTTTTCGTTTCCAGAGGAAGCAAATTAATTGCAAATTAATTTAGGGGCTCTAGTCCCAGATAACACGTAAATGTAAACTTATTTTTTTAAATTTACAAAACGTATTTACGTTGGTTTTTCTTCATTTAAATGAAGACAAGATTTATAAACCTATTCGAAGGAAAGAGCACTTTCTTAGTTAATACATATTACGCCCTTAATGCTTTTGGTAATTTGTGCCTGGTTTTATTTAGTTGAAGATACTTAAATTATCCAATTAAACAGACAATCTATCCAATCTAAAACTCTGCCAAGACAATTTTTCGTCAATCCCATAATGGTATTATTTAAATCATTAAAGTATAACATTCCAATGTAATCCGATATCGAGCTGATGTGAGAGCGTTCAAAACAAAAACTTAATACACTTAACTGTAACGAACTTGTCGCCACTTAGCGCTAAGAAAATACTGCGGTCTTTGTGTCATTCAATATTATTAACAAATCACCATAACTTAAAATGTAAAACAGACCATTTACAACTCTGTGACGAAGCTTTAAGAGTTACGGTTGTCGAATAGTTAAGTTTGATTTGTGGTGTTAACAGTTGCCAGTTGTCTTAAAAGTTGTCAGCATGAAAAAAAAGTTTCTTAACGAATGTTTCGGGTAATTGAGAAGGTTGCAAGGTACCGATTCGGTGCTTGTTTTAACAAATAGGTGACATTTTAAATGAACTTATTAGAAGTGTTGTGACAACATGGCGGTAGTTACAAAAACATTAGGTATCTAATTATTCGGGAATTTAACGTGGAAAAATACTTTTCAAATACAAGCATAAGTGAATATTTGTATAATGATGATTGATTCATATTGTCAATGATACAGAATGGATTAGATTTTGTTCTGAGTAGGTATAGTCTGATTAATCGTTATTCATAAATGCTTACAAAATAACCATAAAGTAATTGTTATTCTCTTAAAACATTTCATTCGTTTGTTATAATAACAATTGTCGACGTAATTGACAATTGTTAAAACAGACACAATAGCATAACAGGTTTCCAATGTAAGTATAATTTTATCAATAAAAAAATTGACATTGGGAATGACAATAGTGTAGGTACATACATCGATATACACTTACTTTAATCTATAACAGTAAATAATTAAAATGGCTGAAGATCATAAAATCTTTAATAAAATAATCAGAATCACTCATTGGCCCAATTTACTACCACCACTTTTTAAGTATAAAAAGTCACTAGTGATTTTAAACAGTGATGTAAAACAATACGACCCCTAATTTGGATATTAAAAATGGCGCCGAATCGCAAACAAATAACTAGGAAACGGCCATCGTATTTTACATTGTTTTAAAAACAATAAAAAAGCGGCCATGATGAAATGTCAAATCGCAAATTCCTCCCCGCGGCGTTCCAAATATGAAATTCCCGCGTGGAAATGGCGGCGAAGGCAATTTTTTTAGAAATGGCCGCCGGCTCGGAGCCAGTCAGGTGGTTTGTTTTCTCTGTGCTTTTTACACGATGTGGGGCTGCAAATACACGAACATTCACCTCGAGATAAATGTTACATGACAAAGCAATCACACAGAACATTACGCCCGTATATTTAACAGAGATAGTAACAAACCTAAATATATTTTTTATTTTGCTTTATTGTAAGTAATTTTAGATTACTGTCCATATATGTAAATTTCAGTGTGTTTATATGATCAAAAGTAAACCGCATCAAATTTAGAACTAAATTTTTAACTTAAAGCATCGAAACGAAAATAAGAAATTCTAACATGTTAATTAATTAAGGCAACCCCAACTTATGTCTTTATCAACTACTAATTAGAATTTTACACTTTGAGTCCTTTATCCTACTGACGTGGTCGTATAAGAAAATTTAATTCAATCAATTTCCACCTCTAATGCGATACCAAAAGATTCAGTATTAAGTGACTAATGTATTGGCATGTGACTTTTGGTTGGTTAACAGTCGGGCGGCTGCGCGGTTGACGTTTGGCGGATTCATTACTAAGACAAAGGGGGGTGGGTGTGGGGGGTTGTGTGTGAGGGATCACACCCTCCCATTCGAAGCCGGGGTGCCGTCAGCCACTTTCCTAAATCAGGACCAAAGGTATTGTTACGTGTACGTAGGTGACTTAAAAGTCATTTCGTTTTTTTTCTTTTCTAAATTAATTATTAATATTTAGGTACATTGGTTGACAGCTGATTTAGAGGAGTCAGATGACTAAAGAAATGCTATTTCGGTTCCAGTGTTTTCTGCATGAGTATCTTTGAGATTGAAATATTGCCTTTTGAATAGAACGCTATAATCCTGTAGCTGTTTACACAATCAAATTTGTTTTATCATGTACAAAAATGTCTCTATCTGCTATCCAAAACAACGATTAACTTTTGTATTTATGTTTGTCCTCTATGTGTTCAGAATTCGCTCAGAAGTTTTTGTTGAAGCTTGGTACGCATATTGTTAGTATTCCAAGGAAAGTTTCTGTCTAATACCAACATGCGACGGGCGGCGTTTGGGTCGTTCCAAGAAATCGATGTTTCAAATGCAATTCGGGATAACTACAGCGGATGATGACCACGGTTCACTAGTTGAACATAAACATAAACATTCTCAACATCATTTTTTATGCTGATTAACAAAATTACATCAAATACAGACCATAAATGAGACATATTCTAATCAGTTTCCATCTTAGACAATCTTAGGCCCAAACTGGTGGTAGGACCTCTTGTGAGTCCGCACGGGTAGGTACCACCACCCTGCCTATTTCTGCCGTGAAGCAGTAATGCGTTTCGGTTTGAAGGGTGGGGCAGCCGTTGTAACTATACTGAGACCTTAGAACTTATATCTCAAGCTGGGTGGCGCATTTACGTTGTAGATGTATATGGGTTCCAGTAACCACTTAACACCAGGTGGGCTGTGAGCTCGTCCACACATCTAGGCAATAAAAACTAAAAAAATAATAAAAAAAACATGTTCTAACCAGGTTCTAAGGTATCTTAGGCCCAAAAATCTGAAGAGTACAACGATAAATCTTACCTGTCAGATGCGGCTGCGAAGTCGGACTATAAGGAGACTTGATCTGCGGGAATCCTGTAAAAGAAGAAATTAAATTAATCGCGCTACAAACAATTAAGCGCCCAAAGGAATTTTAATTTAAAAGTGCCTCTTTTCTCTGATTTAAGTCAACCCTCCGGGGGTGGACTTGTGCGGAATTACTGTTTTCGCGTTTTCGTTCATAAAATTTTGCCTTGGTTTGTAGTTACGAGCTATATGATGCTATATAATGAACGATAATATGTATATTTAAATGCCATAGTCCTTAGTGCAATTATTAAACACTAGCGACCCGCCCTCGCTTCGCTTCGGAAACTGTAATTTATTATTGATTTCTCCACTATTTAATGGATGTTATTATACATGCAAACCTTCCTCTTCAATCATTCTATCTATTAAAAAAACCGCATCAAAATCCGTTGCGTAGTTTTAAAGATTTAAGCATACATAGGGATATAGGGACAGAGAAAGCGACTTTGTTTTATACTATGTAGTGATGATTATTCCTCTAGAGCTCATCAGTGTGTCCATACTTAAGGCTGGTATCGTTGGACGCATTTCCAAAACTCATTTCGGTTTTAGAAATGTACAAAATTTACAAAAGCTTGTGGCCTTTGATCCTTTCAGCTGCGACTGTTAGCAGTGAACGTTGAAGGGAAATTATCTTGAGAAACATACTTAGCTAACCGCAAGATATGGAAAGGAATGCCAAAAACAATTTAAATACAAACAACACGAAATACTAATGAACACAGTTCACTTTACATGCACGATCTTGAACCTGTGGCATTTCGCATGCGGGTTCCGCTAATTCTTAAGCGCTATTACCCACTGAGTTTCTCACCAGGTTTTCTCAGTAGGTCGCGATTCCGATCCGTTGGTAGATTCAGCGAAGCACTGCTCTTGCTAGGGCTAGTGTTAGCAAGTTCTCTCAGGTTAAGGCCATTAGCTCACCTATCCGCCCGTGTAGCTGGAATGGCCTCTTAGGCTACCAACGAATAGGTAGGGAAAAAGACGTGCGGTGTCGTAAGAATAGGTAGGAAAAAAGACGTGCGGTGTCGTGGGACACCGGATAGGAACGTAGTTCCTTATTATGAAAATATTAATTTTAAGTTCTATTCGAGGTATAAAGAAAATAAAACTGGAGGTTTCGCAACAGCCCACGGTCATTCGGTAACGTGCGAACTTATTGTGGTGCACTTCATTCATGGTTGTTTGCATAAGAGTTAGTGTGTTGCGCAAACGAACGCTCTGAGATCGTGGTCAATGAATGATAAAAAAATATGTTACAAAGCTAAGTCCTACACTGTGTGCATTACTAATAAAAATCTTACGTTACGGACGTTTTTTACCGGTTAGGGTACCCCTCCGCATCGTCCAATAAAGAACGTCGTTTCAAAAAAAAAATACAAACATTTAGACTAATATTCAGCTACTTAATAGAAGGAAACTATTGCCAATATCTAAACCAGTGTTAAAAAATTAAGTTCAGTATTAAGTTTTTTACTTTACTCTACTACCAACAGCTAGTTAAATAAATAGCTCATTGACATCTTAAGTGTCATTAAGTGTTTAAATTATGCTGTAATCCTCTTGATTCGTCTTTGTTGTATGATGCAACCCGATATCTATTGTTAGATTATCTATATCTTTTCTGATTGTATTGAAAATAAATAGGTATGTTGTAAAATTAATTTTTACTAAGTGTGGGAAAACTTCAATTCATTCGCTGGTAAAATACAATCAACTCGTAGTAATGGTAGGTATTTGGAAATTTTGTCTACTATAAAATTATAAGCTGGCTTTTCGGCGGTTTGTCTGTCAGTGTCTCCAGAACTAAAACTGTAATGAAAAATTCGGATATTCGCTCAAAAAAAATGTTGAGTTTGTTTGCTTAGAAGTATTGTCTAAAGTTTGTAAATAAAAATTTAAATAAGTTAGGAAGCCAATAATTATAGCTTATCAAAATATGTGAACAATTAAATAAAAAAAATTTAACGTGGTTCATAAATTGTTTTAATAGAAGTTAATTGAGGCCGTCAGCGTAAAAGTGGCCTAACCTAAAAAAATGTTTTTTTTTTTCCTACCAAACCTTGAGACGCTATTTCAGCTTCTTCTTGACGTGTAGGTGAGCTCACGGGGCTCAAACCGGAGTGTTGCTAACACTGTCCCAAACAAGGGCAATGCTTCGCAGAATCTACCACCGGATCGGAAACGCGACCCACTGAGAAGATCCGGCGAGAAACTCAGTGGGCTGTGTCTGTGGGTTATTTCGCTCGTCGAGCCCTTCGTCGCAATCGACGGGTTCGACGAGGACGGTGACCGGATGTTTTTGCCTATGAAGTAGTGTAAAAGTAAGTTCAAGCTTCATTACGTCCACATTGACTATGGTAAGCTTAAACCACTTTTGCGCTGACGGCCTCAATTCTAAGAATACCTCTTTACCAGCTGTCAAGCGTATCAAGCTAGATTTTACAAACTATGTATGATAATTAATACAACGTACACGAACGACTTCAATAAGGAAGGTACAACTAACACAATGACATAAGAAAACGAAAATCCGTAAAAATAAAAAGGCCTATTTATTAGGGATCCGGTACGGGTAGGTAGCACCGACCTATTTCGCCTAGGAATAAGTTTTTTTTATTGCTTAGATGGGTGGACGAGCTCACAGCCCACCTGGTGTTAAGTGGTTACTGGATGCGCCACCCACCTTGAGGTATAAGTTCTAAGATCTCAGTATAGTTACAACGGCTGTCCCACGCTTCAAACCAACACGCATTACTGCTTCAGAGCAGAAATAGGCAGGGTGGTGGACTCACAAGAGGTCCTACCACCAGTACCTAACGCATGTCAGCACAAGTCCAATTAAATTGAAACTTGGGCTTCAATTAATTGTTATGGGTAGCAGGATTAACATTTTAATGTCCATAGGCTGTGATAAGCTATTAATACATGGGTCGTGTAATTATCAGTAAAACAATAATGCAATTAACCTTTTTTCAAACTTTCATTAAAATAAATCGATAATAAAAATTAAATCGATTTTTTTTCTTTGAACGATAAATTTTGTTTGATCTTCATCAAACTGCTTCGTTCTAAGGCGCCTGACAAATCAATCAAGCCACCCCTTAAACGAGAGTCTAACGAATTAACCAATCATCGTGATTAGATGTTCGGAATCTTAATTCATACGATGTCTTCTGTAATTTTATTTGAACCAGTGGCCCCGTAGTAGCCGAGATTCGACTATAATTAATTGAAATTATAATTTTGAACATTCTTATTGGTTCTATTGTCAAAGACTATTTATTATACTTCTATAACCACAGATTTCGCCAAGACTACTACACTTTAGACAAATATTATTAAAGACAAACAATATTCAATCTATTCTCAATTTGACCACAAACTTTAAAAACAAAAGTTTCATAATTGACAATTTACAGAGAGTATATTGATACGTATGTGTTGTGTCAAATACACGGTAGTGTGTGTAATGTTTTCTTTATTGATTTAATGTATTTTTAATGAATAATTTTTAAAAAATATTAGCATTCTGCACTTCTTCTCTATATTCTCTATAAGTGTAGAAAAGGGGATGGCCCATTTTAGGCCCAAAGCGGACAATAGATTATAGAAAAAATACTTAGTGCATTAATTTTGTCATAAATAAATATGCATTTACTTTCTTGCAAATAAGCGCCACTATAGTTTACAATAAGTAGTTTAAAAAAAGTAACTCTATTGAAAAAACAAGGATTTTTATTTTTGCGGGAAAAATATTGCCAGCTTCAAATCCTTTTACGTATGAAGTAAATATTTTGAGTATATAAATAAAACATATAAATAAATCATTTTAAGTATTATCATTAATCAAACGATTTTAATGGATTTTATGCACATAAAATAACATCGAAGACATACCCATTGGACTTTAACTTGTAACTATACTTGAGACCTTAGAACTTATATCTCAAGGTGGGTGGCGCATTTACGTTGTAGATGTATGTGGGCTCGAGTAACCACTTAGCAACACCAGGGTGGCTGTGAGCTCGCCCACCCATCTAAGCAATAAAAAAAACTTTACTAGTATTGTTATTTAAATATGTACAACTAAAACAAAAACATAAAAAATAATGTGTACTCGTAAAAAAAAGATTAAGATATAAATCAATTATCGGTTATTTAAAAAAATAATCGATATATGAATTTCATGTAATTATTTTTCTTTATACTGACAACACTGAATTTAATCTGACTGACTGACACTTCGCTTGCTGCTTGTGGTGTTGTGCTTGCGTACAAAATGGATGTGTTTTGATTTTTCTTCGATTTATTTTACTTTTATCAATAACGTTTCATACTACGACTAAAAAACATTGTGTGAATTGTGGTTTTACCCTGACCGAGATTTAAAACCGTGTATATGCTCTCCTTTGCTATTTTTAGATGATACTAATTGTGTATGAAGATGAAGAAAATATAGATATTTAAAGAATTAAGTGTGTTTTTATACCCTATTGGATAAAAATACATTAGGAACATCTTAAACATTAATAAAAGAAAAGTTCTTGAAGTATCTCACAATCCGACACTTATTTATATAGAAAATTAACCTCAAAACGAGTTTTTATTTTATTATATTTTTTATAATAGTGGCGTCAATTTCAATATATTTTTTAAATATCCAATACATTTAAGAATTTGAATCAGTACATTTTTATAGTAATATTTGATGTCCATCTTGGGCCTAGCACACTATGGAGAGTGGGCAATCCCCTTTCATACTCCTCCGTCCAGCCAATTTTCGTAAAAAGTTACAAAGTTTTTGCTACATGTATTAATATATAGATAATATCACTTTTGCCGGACGTAACGTTCAATTTGTAATGAGGCGTGGCTTGGACGAGTTGAGAGCGTTCGAGGCATGTTCTTTTACAAATCGATTTTAATAAATAAATAGTTACATCGAAATTCGTGATTTGTGGCGAATAATTGAAATAGTGTGGCGAATAATTCGAATGAAAAAA